AAGAAATATTTCTTGTATATTTCCACAAGGAAATAAGCCCCCAACAGAAAACTGGTTGTCCATTCCAAGTATGGAGAAATAAGAAATACAGACAGAACTGTGGGATAGACATGCAAAATGTTATGTGCGATCAAGCTCATCTCCAACTTATGGCAACCCATGAATGAAAGTCCTCCTAAATGTCCTGTCCACAACAGTCCCATTCATCTTTTCAAGACTGTGGCTTACATTATGGATTCAATCTATCTCATATTTGGTCTTCTTTTTTCCTTTTTCTGCCTTCAACTTTCCCAGGCATGATTGTCTTCTCCAGGGAGCGTTCCTTCCTCATGATGTGTCCAAAATATGGCAGCCTCAGTTTTGTCATTTTTGCTTTTAGGGAAAGCTCTGGCTTGATTTGATGTAGGGTCCACTTGTTTGTCCTTTTGTTAGCTCAAGGTATTAGCAAAACTCGCCTGCAGCATCATGTTCTGATTGCATCTTTTTTTTTCCAGTCAGCTTTCTTCATCGTCCCGCTTACAGACCCTTACACTGTGATTGGGAATGCAATAGTATAGATGAATTAACCCTTGGTCTCCAGTAAAATATTCTTATGTTTGATTATCTTTTGTGATTCCTTCATTGCTGCCCTTCCAAATCTCAGTCCTCTTCAATTTTTTTGGCTGCAGTCTCCCTTTGAATTGATGACTGAACCATTTCTTAGTTCTTAACCATTCTTAACCATTAAATTCTGTAATTCTTTCATGTTCATGCTTTTTGTTTTCTTAATATTCAGCTATAGTCCTGCTTTTGCACTTTCTTCTTTCAGTTTCATCAGGAGTTGTTTCAGGTCATTGCTGCTTTCTTCCAGTAGTATAATGTCATCTGCATATCTTAAATTATTGATGTGTCCTCTGTCAATTTGCACTCCTTCCTCTGATTCTACTCGTTTTCCTTATGATATCTTTGGCTTGTCAGACACCTTTGTCTATGGGAAACCATTTGGTTTCTCCATATTCTGGCCTAACAATAGCTTCTTGTCTGTGATACAGGTTATGTATCAGGACAATCAAGTGCAGAGGTGTACCCATTTCTTTCAGGACCATCCGCAGCTTCTTTTCATACACACAGTCAAAGGCTTTGCTCTAGTTTATAAAGCATAGACTGACCTTCTGAAAATCTTTGGTGCACTCCACTGCCAATGTAAATTTGTAATATGATCTCTAGTGGCTTTTCCTTTCTGGAAAAAAGGAAAAGCCATATTACAAATTTACAATGTAAATTTGTAATATGATCTCTAGTGGCTTTCCATCAGGCATTTCTTATTCCATATAGGGCAGTATTCTTTGTTGCAACACTTTGAATATCGTTATGCTTGTATGGAAAATTAATTCAGTGGTCCTATAGTAACTGCACTCTTTTGCATCTTCTTTCTTGTACAGTGGTACCTTGGCTCCCAAACACCTCAGTTCACGACCAAATTGGGTCGCGAACAGAAATTTCAGAAAAAATTTGCCTCATGAACTACACATCGGGTGATGATCACATTTGCACCCATCTCCCTGCATGGGCGCGATTGCGGTCATGCTTGGGTGGGGGGAGATGGCTGTGGTCATGCTCGGAGGGGTGGGAAGATGGCTGTGATTGTGGTCACGCTCCTGCAGGGAAGACGGGCGTGTGCTCGCGGGGGGGGGGGGGGG